TCGCAGCGAAGCTTCGGAACAACACCGAACGTGAATTCGAATCGGGCCGCATTTTCTGACGCTCCGGCACTCCGGCGCCGCACCCGCAGCTCCCCAGACGGTGCCCTGTGCGGACAAGTTTTGTGCTTCGTGCCACGCTCCTTCCTGCCTGTCGATCCCAGTCTTGCCACACGTTTTCCTGTGCGTGTGATAAAGAACATACAATGTGTTTACATTCGGCAAATTTCTAGCGACAATCACCCAGGATTTGCGTCTTAATCCAGGACCCGCTGCCTTCGCATAGCAAGCGACGGCATAAAGATAATTCCGGTGAGTTCCACACGGGCTTGTTGGATTTGTGCTGGGCCCGCTTGGCGGCGCTTCCGGCGCCGCCATTGGCTCGCTTCACGCGCGAAGGAAGCGGGTGCTTGGCGCCGGTTCAAGAACCCGCGCGGTCTTTCAAAACATTTGGTTTACGCAGTGTTTGGCCCCAAACAGTGCTTGCATCTGTGGGTTCCGATCTCTTTGCTCAGGAGCTGGACCTGGATGTTGTTCTGGCGGCCATGTTGTCGCCGTCGCCGCCCAGTCGCCGCCTCGTCGCCGCCCGTCGCCTGGGCCTGATTGTCGGTTTTGCCGATCTGTTGTCGCCGTCCGCCTCCGTCCCGCCTCGGCCTAGCATAATTGCACCATCTAGTCTGCATGCATACGCCGCATAGATTTGCACCACATGAATTGCACCACATAGACTGCACAACACAATTCGAAACACACACGTCGCACACCAACTATTGCACCGCATATGTTGCACCGCGTAAATCGCATGACATCGATTTTGACTCCTCGATTACACCGCCTAAATCGCACCTCGTAGTTTGCACCACGTAGGCTGCAATCTTGTGCAATCTAGGTTGCAAAGCATATATTGCGCAACGCATATCGGACAACATACGATGGTACACCATGGATTGCACCGAATATATCATGCAACACAGTCTGCACAACGTACTTTTCATAACGCGCGCTGCACACTATAACTCGCATCATATGGTTTGCACCACATTGATTGCACCGCGTACATCGTAGTTGACACCGCGTACAGTGCGCCAGACATTGTGTGTATGTTTACATGTGAATATATACACACATGTATGTGTATATATATATATATGTGTACATTGCCCCAACATGCGTTGCGCAACACATATTGCTAGAAACAAAACTTGGGGTCCGCGCTGGCTAACATTGTTCATGCGTTCGCTCTTGCGTCATGCCATTTTGTTCCCATTTTGGCACATGCTTTTTGGTTGGCAAAGTACGTGACTTAACCGCCCTGAAGCCTTCTCCTGAAAACCTTCACGGAGTTGCCTCCTAATCCAGGAGCGGCTTGTTTGGAAGAGTAACGACCGCATCAACATATTGTTTCCAAGTTCCGCGCGAATTTCTTGGATCGGCGCTGCTTCCCCTTGGAGCGGTCCGCGCGCCCTGGAGGGAGTCCGTCGCCGGTCCAAGACATCCGCGCGAACCTCAGATTTGTTCACTATGCATGTTGTCCTGCTTCTCTTATTCTTCCAGGCGAAGTGGTCTCAATCTTGCCACGTGGCCCATTGATCCGCTTAGTTGCCTCGAATCCTTATCATGAAGACCTTCGAGGACGTGCCGCTAACGACGACCTCCTTGGATCCGCGACATACACCTAACTCTAAGACGGCATGCACCTATTTTTAAGACGGGCATGCTCTTTCACAGGAGGAATATTTCGGAATATTCAAGAATTGTCAAAGTAATAGTCAGGTGACGATGTTTCGTGCTCTTCTGATTGTTTGTGATTATTATCTGACTACTTTTTATGCTTCGCCTATAATCCGCCTGTTGGAGGACATGCCCGACATAGATCTAACTTTTTTTCTGAGCGTCGCGCGGGCTCCTTGGATCGGTGTTGGGGCCCCCCTGGAGGTGCCTCGGGCGCCGCCCCTGGCGTGCTCCGCGCGCCTTGGAGGGTGTTTGGGGTGTCCGTCGCCGATCCAAGAAATCCGCGCGGACCTTCGAGAATGTATGTTTGTGTTGTTTTTTTATTTTTATCCTTTCGTCTGAGCGACGCGGGAGCATGGGCTGTTTTCGACGACGTTGCCGTGTAAGGTCGCGCGTGAGCGCCCTCGTTTCCAATGTGGCGCGGCACGCTGGTGGCCTGTGTGTGCCGTGGCGTAAGGTCGTTGTATCCTGTCGCGTGAGAGCCACTCCGTTTTGCCGCTCAAATCATTTTCTCATCGGGCTCAACAGCGCCGAATTTTCCCTACGAAGACCTTCCGGGAGTTGCCTCCTGATGCAGGCTGGCTTCTCCGTCACAGAGACTCTCTGCGCCACGTGCTTCCCCACTCCTCCTCCTCCTCCTCCTCCTCCTCCTCCTCCTCCTCCTATCGCCTTGCACGCGCCCGTCCGCAAAGGCGGCCAGGCGCGGCCATCGGAGCCCTGTTCTCCCTTCGGGTCTGGGTCAGGGGCTGCGGCTTGCAGGCCGGAGGCGTTTCAGCGAGAGGTGATATTGTTCGACATCATGATGATGATGATGATGATGATGATGATGATGATGATGATGATGATGATGATGATGACGATGCTGACGATGATGATGCTGATGATGACGATGCTGATGGTGATGATGATGATGATGACGCTGATGCTGATGTTGATGTTGATGCTGCTGCTGATGATGATGGGGAGGAGGAGGATGAGGACGAGGATGACGATGATGATGATGACGACGATGATGATGATGACGATGCTGCTGATGATGGTGGTGGTGGTGATGATAAGAAGGAGGAGGGGGGGGATGAGGAGGAGGAGGAGGAGGGGGAGGAGGAGGAAGTGGAAACGGAGGAGGATGAGGAGGAGGAGGGGTTTAAGCGAGAGGAGATGACGCTTCCTTACCGTCAGCTGATCTGCTCGCCCGACCCGCGCGGCCCCGGGCCGGTCTCGCCCGCGGCTCCCGAGGCGAGGGCCGCTGGGAGGGCGCAGCGCGCTACATGGGCGGCTACTTCGACTCCCTGGGCAACAGGCGCCCGGGCGCCTCGCCCGCCCGCCCTCCGCTGGGAGGGAGCGAGGGTCAGGCAGCGGCGAAGCGTCCCGTCTCGCCCACAGGCCCCGGCAACGAATGTTCTAAGAACCCTTTTGTGGATTGCACGAAGGGTTCAGAGGACCTCTCTGGCTGATGGTGCTCTGTTTTGGCACAGCGTTTTCATGGTTCGAAGCACATGGTTCTTGCTCTAAGGACATTTTTTGTCTGAGAACATGTCGTGGTAGGCCTACAGGAATGCCGGGACGGTCGGGTCCCCTGCTCAGGGAGGGGGCGAGGGAGGACCGGGGGCGGTACGATCGAGATGGGAATGGGAAGCATAGGCACGGAGACCGGTCGCAATTCTTCGCGCATTCGGCGCAGGATTTGCTGTCGGTGCCGCTTCACTCAAGTCGACTGCACGTAAGAGTGGCCCTTCGCCGGAGGGACCCGTGCTCTGGGAGCTCATCGAGGTCCCTCTGGTCGCCGAGCGCGGTGCGAGAGCAGCTGATTGCGCGCTGGGGTTTGGCCACCTTGCGCTCCCTCGGTCCGCGCACCGAAGGTCACTCTCGCCTAAGGTCACTCCTGCGTGTAGCCGATCGAGACAGACGACCGCCTGCCAAACATCGGCCGCTGCCGGTTTTGGGCACCGCCTGTTGTTGGGCATCCCGTGACAGTTTTTTCCGTACCCATTCCGGGCGTCCCAAGGAGCGAGGGGGGGGAGGGAGTCCCAGAGACCACGCTCGCAGACATCCAACGTCTTGACAGCATCAAGGCGTAGGTTTTTCTCACAGCTTTTTTGTTCCAGGGGGCCCTCGTCGTGCACGAGGACCATCAAAAGCGCGTCAGGGCGAACAACAATTGTTCCCCTGGAATGGGTCGAGACCTCCAGAGACCCCGCCTTCCGGCAGGAGGGGGCGAGGGGGCGAGGGGGATCAGGGGCTCAGGATGCCACTCCTGGGAGGCAACATTCAGCATCGGCGCTGATATATCAGTGGCCGAAGTCCGGACTGCTCAGACATAATCCCGTCAAATTTGGTTTATTTCTGATCAATTCGGCTTAACCTTGGGCTCTGGCCTAATCTGTCATAATGGCATCTGCGTCGGGCTCATCGCCCGTACTCGTTCCGACAAAGACTTCCCAGGAGTTGCTCCCTTCCGGGGCAGCGCAAATGACGGTTTTCGACGTTCGAAGTTTTTCAGGCGTTTTCGCCAGTCCTCGGCGGTTTTCTGGCCTCGGGCTGCTCTCCAGCAGGTGCTCCCACGCCCGATCGTTCCGAACGGCCGCTGGGGAGGCGAATTATGGTCGGGAAGCCACAGGTCGGGGGGAGATGCGTGGGCCCTCAATCGCCAGTTGATCGTCGACATGAGCCCAATGGCCCACCACGCCCAGCACCGTGCGGATTCGCCATCCGGAGCCTATCGCCGATCTGTCGGCGATGTGTATCGGCGATTCCAGCTCGATGTCTTCCCCCCACGAGCTGGTCACCCACTCTCGTTTCCCTTCGCTACGGAATTACGGATATTGCGACTGTGTTGGCTACAGGCAGTGGTCAATTTATACATAGTTTCTTGGCCTTCTCGGCTTTACTGATACGATACAGGCACCCACTGCGATTGCCAGTGACGGCTCGATCATATTCCTGACTAAGCTTTGTTGGCCGTTGAGCAGTAGAACTTCCGTAGGATGTGCAACACCAGATCCTCAGCCCCATGAGAAAAAAATCAATCGTGGCTTTCGTGAACGCCGCCCCGATATGTGTAACACGACGCCCAGGAGGGAGGCGACGAATTACACCATTAATGCAAACTAAGTTCAAATACGGTGAGTTCAGCCATTCGCCCTTCTCAGCAAGCGAGGTCGACGAGGATCAGGATGACCAGGCGAGGGGCAGGGGGAGGCGGATGATCAGGGGAAGAGGAAGAGGAGGTCTATTTCATTGAGGTTTGTTCCACGACAGAGGCAGTGATCTGGCGTTCATCCCCCTCTGCCACCACCGTGGCTTTCGCCGCAGTTGTTTTTGCCGTCCGAGCGCTTGTGCCTGTTGTCTCCTGCAGTTGGGACGAGTTCTCTTTTAGAACTCTCTGTCCTACTGCTTCT